CCCCCCCCCCCCAGCCAGCACCCTTTATGTCTTTGTTCTTCATTTTGACTTAAAAAAAGCGTTTGGCCAGGGCGACGGAGAAGCGCCCGGGCGCGCGGCCGACACTCCCTGGGCGCGAGTTGTGGAGCCTGGGGCGCGCCGGGCGCAGAGCGGGGTGCAGTTTTTGTTTTCTTTTGTGGACAGGCTCCCCCCTTTCTTTTTTGGTAGGGAGGATAGGAGGGTGCGGGCTCTTAGGCTTTGATCAAGGTCGAAGAGAGGGACGTGGCAAGTTAGCACTTGGTCACCAGGTTCACTTCCACCCGGTCATTCCCCCCCCCCCATCTCCGCGGTCACCGCAGGCTTTCCAGGCGCCTCGGCTATCGAAAGCTCCCCGTCCCCGCCTCCTGCAGCTCTCGCCTTGGAGCCCGAAATCACAACAATAGTAATAGTTATCATCATAATGATGCGGGCAAGCAGCGTCATTAATAATGAATAACCGTGGTCGCCGCCTGGCGCACACCCGGTGTCCAGAATTGCGGAGTAAAAAGCATTGAACAGATCCTCCAAAGTAAAAAGAAAAAAAAAAAGTGTTTGTGTGTGGACAACAAGAATGGATTTCAGACTCGAGCTTGGGGTGTATGTGATGAAACTGAGACTCCACCGGGTTAACTAGCCGACTTTCCCAAACCTTTTTTCTTTTTCTTTTTTTCCCCCCCATCAACTAAATAAAAACTGGGCCTAATAGTCCAGGAAACCCGCATCATCCTGTGGCTGGACTGGCTGGGCTTGGAGGCAGCGGTGGAGGCCCCTGGCTCCCCACCGCCTCGGGCCCGGAGTCCCAGCCCTTAGGCCGCTGCCGCTGCACGTGTTTGCAGCCAGCACCGCCAGAGCCTGCAGTCCCGAGCCTGCTTTGTGCCTTCTAGTCCTGGCGCCCAACTTCACTTTCTAGCAGGCACACCCTTGCAAGGGCCCCCGGACCCTGGGGCCTGTAGCCCTGGGCATTGCTTTTGTTTCTTTGCTTTTCCCCTCTATTAGCCTTCGCTTGCATTACCCTGCTAAGAAAATCCAGAAGGACTTGGAAAGCAAACTTGAAGACACATTTCCTTTTACCCCTCCCCCCCCTCCCGCAGCAGCTCTTGTTTCCTTGCGCCTTCCCATTTCTTCTCAGGATTTTTAAAATTTTCAAATTGATTCTTTTGCAACTGTTTACAGAGAGAAGAAAGAGATCTCAGCCTGCCGCTGGGACACTGAGACATTTCACTCTGTTTTGCTGAACGCAGAAGCATTTTATTTTTTATTTCTTCCTCCCTTGTAGAGAGAATTTGCGGCTAATTATTATCATTATTTGTCCACTCCCTTCCACTTCAATGGAGGACTCCCCGCTTTGTAGCCAGAGTTAGGCCCGAGCTTAGAAAGGATGGTTTTGTGGGGGGAAATTAGGATGGTGTTGAATTGAGGGAGGGAATGAAATGGCTGAGGTTAGGAATGTTTTTAGAGAAAGAGGAATTTGCATTAAAATACAGAGAAATTATCTTATGCCCAGAAAGGAAATGTTGATTGCCACTGAGAAAAGATGTCAATGCAAATCAGTAGACTGCTACTAGAGAATTGTATTTTCATATTTTCTTTGTGCCCCACTTGGTCTGATTTTCAATAAGACAGCAGCAATAATAAAAACACATTTTGATATTTCTCTGAACATTACTAGCCAAATGTTTTTCAAGGAGCCCGATGTTAAACGTATTTCATACATTAGGATATAATTCTTGTTAATTAGCAATAATTTACGTTAAGAGCATAGAAAATGTTGAGGTTACAGGTTTTATATCTGTACATTTGATCATCTTGTTATTTTCAAGAACTTTGCCTCCTATAAAATTAATTAGGTGAAATGTGGAGGTGTAATCAGCAACCTGTGAATTACCACTTCATTTCCTGGTTTAGATTGTAAATCAGTTCAGTCACTACATTTAGAAGACTTTAACCAAGTCTGTTTTGTACGGAATTACCTTTAACTATTTGATACCTAGAATATGTCCTTTATCTCCTAAATAATGTTCCCACATTCAGAACTATATCAGATCTCCAGAGTTAAAAAAGCAACAACAGATAAACCCAAACGAATCTCAATGGAATTTTCAAGAATGTTTTAACTTTAGTAAAATAAAAGAATGCTCCCCCCTCCCTTGCTTCCTTCAGTCTGCAAACCTCAGAACTTGTAGTTAAAGCTACAATCAAAAACAGCTCCATTTGTCAACGTGTATTTAAGATCCTTAATTCAAATAGCAGGAATCTTGGAGAATGACTTGCCTACTTCCATTTCTCACTTGGTCAAAATGAAAGCAAATGTAGGAGGAAAAAAAATGACATAAAGGCACAATGCAGAAGCACTTCCGTCCGTTTCCCATTATTTGAAAAGTATGCTTGTGCAGTCTGGATTTATCTTTGAGTCAGGATGTTGGGCAAAGCAACGTTTAAGTGCTTACTTTGCTGTCTTTATTAGTAGGGAGATAACCTTCATATTCCTGTGATGACCTTATGTTAAATTAGGAGGCGTACCAAAGGCTAGAAATTATGACATGTCCTACTTGAGCACAGGTGCAGCTAGGCAGGGCTCTCTCAACATTATTTCACCCAGCACATCTGGGAGTTACTCCAGATCTTCCCCCTCAATATTCATCCTGGGTAGGGTTGAAATAAATTTAACCTGAGTTCACTGGATTTTTGCACTTTATCAAAATCTGTTCCAATATTCTACACTCAAATTAAAATCTATTTTTTGATTCTCTGTGGCTTTAAGTTCATTAAATGTGAAATTGGCAGCTTGCTAAAGAAGGTCAGACTGATTAACTGTTTAAGACTTGTACATTTTTTGCTTCACTTTTTATTAACTGGAAGCATCCTGATATGTTTTGTATTTTGTGATCTTTTTTTGTTGATAGAGCAAGTATAAGGTTTCCTGAGAAAGACTTTCCTTTCCTCATTTGAAAGGCTAAAAAAATGATAGAAGCTGTTCAAATAAATGTTAGAGTATTTTGGCACAAAAGTTAAGAAAAAAAAAAGCAAAGAGGAAAGAAGGATGTGGCTACCTTGTTATACCATCTATTGGTGATTATGTGTGCAGAAATAGTCCCATAATGAAGCATTTTGGAGCTCATTCAGAAAATTAGTCAACTTTGACAACATTAGGTGAAGTATTTCACATCTAAAGAAAGGACTTCTCAGTCTCATTCTCGAATGTGGCATTTGCTTGACCATTCTGATTTCTCTGTCATGGATGCCACCAAGTGCAAACATGTTTAGAATATTTTAGGCATTCCTTTCTCCAGAATGAAAAAAAAAATGACTAATTGGCTTATTTTCTTAAGTACTCAAAAGTATCCCATTTAGTTAATGTGTCTGAAAAGAATTGCCAGTGAATTTGATATTTCTTTCTTTTCTTTCTTCCTTTTATTTTTGTTGCTCTGCTAAGTGTGAGATCAGAAAGGTTTTTGGCAGAGTGAATTCTACTGCGTTATGATTATTTAGACCCGTTTTACAGGTGAATGCAGTCCTTTCCTTAGTACGGCAGGGTGTGAGAGTATGGCACATTTTTGTGTGATATAGTACCCTTCTGATTTATGATGCTATGTCTGTATCCTTATGAATATATACATCACACACAAAGGGAATGTGTGCTTATTCACCTCATATTCTTTGGCACAATAGGCAAGTTACTGTCCAGGAAAGAGACAAATTTGGATTGAATCCATGTTTTTGCCATGTTTTTCTTGTGGCTAATATTAAAGTATCTTTATGTCCTCTGTTATTTGTCATATTATTTCTAAAGGAAGAATTTGTGTGTGTGTGTGTGTGTGTTTGTGCATACACACACAATCTGGAGTTATGCAAGTCTGATAGATTTCTTGAAATATGTGATAACTTGCTTCATTGATAAATTTACTTTCTTGCTGATCACCTCCACATTCTTATACATTTTGTGTGTCTCCTTTTCTGGAGAAGGCTACAGCTACTTTCCCTAATGTGGGGAGATGGGGTGGGGTTCAAAATGTATGTTCCTCCTTTTCTCTCCTTTTTGGCTTTCTAATAATTGTGCTTTTGTTTCTCTTGTCACAGCCGAACCTCTTGAAGCCATTCTTACAGATGATGAACCGGACCACGGCCCATTGGGAGCTCCAGAAGGGGACCATGACCTCCTCACCTGTGGGCAGTGCCAGATGAACTTCCCATTGGGGGACATTCTTATTTTTATCGAGCACAAACGGAAACAATGCAATGGCAGCCTCTGCTTAGAAAAAGCTGTGGATAAGCCACCTTCCCCTTCACCAATCGAGATGAAAAAAGCATCCAATCCTGTGGAGGTTGGCATCCAGGTCACGCCAGAGGATGACGATTGTTTATCAACGTCATCTAGAGGAATTTGCCCCAAACAGGAACACATAGCAGGTAAATGAGAAGCAAGGAGAAAAAAGCTGTTTGCATGTTTTCTTTTCATTTTCAGAGGTGCTGTAAGGAGTGGTGAAGTGCTTTCTGTATTTCTCCACGTGACTGTCCATGACAGCCTGTAATGTTCAAATAATCATTCCTGTTGCTTTATGTCCAGAACACAGAAAATAAATACTTTCCACCTCATGGAGTCAGATGCAGGTGGAATAGGTACACACACCTGACACCCTTTCTCTCCACCTGCTGATTCTGAATTTCTTCTCTTCCCCCTGTCCTCCTTCTCCTTTAAAAGTATTGGACTTTACTACACCTCATCCAGTTTCCAATGTCCATTTCTGGCCTTGGGGACATAATCAGAGGCAAAGTGGCCACATAGGCATTTGTAGTTGAGCCAATGATCTGTCTTACTTAGTATGTCTGGTTGGGCGTCCCTTGAGGTGTAGTGAGTTCTCCAGTCTTCCCAGAAGTGGGATGGGCTGCCAGGGTGGTTTGGAAGGGGCAGAAAGAGTTAACTGAGCTTCAGGGCTAGCCTTGGATCCATATTGGCTGTCAGCCCGTATGGGGCTGTAATTAAACACAGCCCCGTGGTGGGATGACACTGTGACCTTGACTTTAAGATGCCATTTTCGACTGGCCAGGCCAGAGTAGAGAGGGCAGTTGCTGAAGCGCACAGACATGCTTACTCGAAAAGTTTAAGGGCATGTTGGAAATTTCAAAAGGTTGGTTTGACAGGAACGGCTGCTCCCTGCAGCCTGCCTCCTCAGCTCAATGATAAATGCTTCTTGGTGCTCTCTCTTGTCTCTGATGTGGTTTTGACAGATGTATCTTGATTTTGTTTGTGGTTTACAGAACCACATGTCACCCTTACAAATGTCCAGTCCACATTCCACTGTTTCTGCTATAATGCAACATAAAATTTTTCTTACACAAATAAGATTCACAGGTTCATCAGCTCATTCTCCCTCAGTTAATTTTACCAGAAAGGTAGCTAGGCATGTGCGCTCCTCAGCAGCTCAAGAGAGAAGGAATTAAAGACCAATAGAGGGATTTAAATTCCCTACTCCGAGTGATAAACAACAACACTATATAGAGTGATCTTTCAAAGGACTTTTGATTTGGCACTTTAGTCAAAATGAATGCAGGTTCTGTGGTGATAGAAACTTCTTACCTGTCAAAGGAAAGGATCATTTTCTCTAGCTCCCTCTTCCTATTCTACTAAAGGTAGACTAGTGAAGGTAGTTCATATAATTGTTTGTGGGGTGGGGGGGAGGGGAGGGGGGTCCACTGGAACTTTTCTCTCCCACCTAGTTTAACCATGAAGTTGAACCACAATAGGTCAGTGGTCTAGAGGGAATTAAATATCATATTATTTCTCCTCTTCCCCTCCAGAACTTGATCACTACAACAACCCAAGGTGGCGCCCCTCTCTCTCTCTCTCTTTATAAAAATGGTTTCTGCAGCCAACAATCATACTTTTCCTTTAGTGAAAGGAGAAGTGTGTTTCCAAGGAAGCTGCCTGTGCAGTTTTTCTTGAATCCACCACGTTTTGTTTATGTGACATGTAGGGTTTTTATTTCAATCTTCCCCCCACCCCCAGTAGGATATGGCAATGACCATTTCCATGTGCTGTCTTGTGTCTGGAAGGAAAATGAACAGAAGTGTAAGGCATGATTAATGAAGCAAGAGAAGGCGGAAGGGGATTTGTCGTCTTTGGAGATCCGAAGCCTTGCTCAATCACCAAATATGGAGTAACGCTTGTGTGATGTAACGTCGTATTTACATATCGAGCTGCTCGTTTAAAAGACAAAACACAGTGTCTGTCAAGCAAGAATTAAAACCACACTTCTTCCTGAGGTCCCAAATAGGTTATTCAGTTTAGGTTAACCAGATCCAAATTTTGGGCCTCTGTATTTAGGGGAGGAATCTGAAGGCTGAGGAGAGCCTTATAAATAGTTAAGGCTTTTTACTCTTATGTTTATGAATCCTCTTAAGATAGACAGTGAAAGAAATTGGCTTTAAATCCCTGGTTGTCATAATGATTCTGTTGTTATTTCTTTATTTTCTTTTAAGAATTAGTACAACAGCAGAGTGTAAAGAAGCTAGAAAAAAAGTGGATGGGAGCAAATATGACATTGTATTGGGCTCATACTACATTATTTCACTGAGATTGAAAGCTTTCTAAGGGGTTTAGATACTCAAGGGGTGCACAGGTGTTGCAACCTAGGTGAGGTAAAAATTTCATGCACAAATAATTACAAAGTCTTGATTCCTTTCATTGTGTTTAATCACCTGTTCCTAACCTGGATTTGTCTGTCCATAAATAGTGTGGCCACATCTCAAAGTGAATGTTAGCAGCTAGACTCATGACTTCTCATAATCTATAGTAATGAATTAAGAGTTTCCTATGGTGAAATTAGCTTTCTATCATTGTACATAAATTATGATGCTCTGGCTCTCAGGTACTCCTGAAGTAAAGTTTGGGAAAGACAGCTGTATACTGCCCACCCATTTCTCTAAAGTGCATTTCCACAATTCTAAGCCTGCTTGTCTTTTTTTATGATGAGGAAGGAAACAATAACAGTAATCATTCAGTAGATAATTTGGATTGTGTGTCACAAAAAGAAAGGAGAAGCAATGCTCTATAATAGGAAAGAGATGTATTGATGAATCTCTAGAAGAATATGTTTAGCAACTACATAAAAGATAGTCATTTAAGCATGCTGGGTAGGAAAGGCTTTATTAAAGTGATGTGAATTGGGTTTGAGTTCACTGTGTATTCTATGCCATTTTATAGTCAGGAAGCAGGAGTAAAACGGTGACAGATCTTCCTAAGATATATAAAGCTTAGAATTTGGGGATTCCAAATAGGAGAATCAGGTAGATCTGCAGTAAAATGGCATGCATTTTGATGCCCAAAGCTTTATGTTTTTTTAGGTGATGCATTTTAACTGGTAATGAAATGTGTGTGTGTGTGTGTGTATGTGTGTGTGTGTGTGTGTATTCCCATACTCTATCCACAGATATTAATCAGGTTGCCTTTTCTATTTTATTCAGATATCCAAAGTATTGTGTGATTGAGATCCCTGGAAACCATTGATATAGTATTAATTGAACTAGACATTAGCAGCTTATATTGTGTGGGCCGGTGGTTCATCAACACGTGTGTCAAATACCCACCATCAGATATGAGCGGCTTTTGACTGGCAGGCAGAGCTTTTAATATGGGTTTTGTTTGTCTTGTTTTTGAGGCTCCTGTTTTATGATGAGGGAATTAGTCATGGAAGGTTAGTGAATGTGAAACTGTTTTTTCTTATAGTAAAGGCCAAAAATATTATCCTACAGTGTCAGATTTGAAGTTTGGCTTATTGCACATAAACATCTCTATATTAGGGTTGGCTCATCATAGCATTTGGAGAAAATAGAGGAAAATACCACACATCCTATGGAATGCAGTGAAGTCTGTTGCTATTGGTATGTTATACTGTTTTCTCCTTAAAATCACGAACACAGACTTTTATATCAGGGTTTTTGGCTAGACAGTACAGCTGATATCTAGATAATGACATGTAAGACAGATCCTTTAATGAAGGGAGAAATACTCACTTAAAATGGAAGTACATTAGCATGTTACTTATAGGTAAAATTATAACATCCTTAATGCTTTTCAGAATTTAGGAAATCAATTTGCCTTTTGTTTTTGTGCCCATTCTAATTCTTTACTAGCTTAGACAGAACTGGAGGATATACCAGTACACTTTATGATATAATTGTTGCTGAGACTGTAAATTATAGTATCCTATTATTAATGACTACTTATTTTTCATTTCTCTTTGTTGGTGTGATTTGGAATAAAAACTATTGATCTCTGAGGTGGATTTTTCAGTTTGGCAGCCAAATCAGAAAACATCACCATTAAACAACAACAAAAAATCCAACAACGAAACAATAAAAACAAAAGCAAACCCAATATTTGGCAAACATTTTGTATACCTTTAAGAGGTAGAAAGAGTAGAGAGTATTGTTTCCTAGTAAATACCTAGGGATTTTCATAGGGAGCCTAGGTTTGTGAGGCCATTACCCAAAGACTCATGTGCATGAAGCTGGGAGTCCTATATACAAGCTGTATTTGTAAATAAGACAGAGAAAGGTTGTGAACTGGCAGCTTGGATGTTTTGTCAAAGTACAATGTCAGAGAAACTCTTTCTAAGACAAATTGTAAATAGAACTGTCACAGTGATTGCATGATTGAGCCGCAGAAGTGCCCTACAATTGTTGGCATTGTCAGAGGACTTTTGAAAGCTTAATTAAACACAGTGGCCCGCATGGCTGCTAAATTTACTTGGGAAAGCCAAAAAACAACCCCCTCCCCAAAACAACAACAACAACAACAAAAACCCCACAAAAAAACCAACAACAATTAAAATGTGGATGATCCCAAAGATCCCAAAATTCTTCAGATGTTACCCTTTTGGTGACACAGAAAATGTGCATTGTGCATTTTTTCCTGGTAGTCTTTTATAAATAATAGTTTTGAGAATAGGTCCACGTGATATGAAGATCATCCTGTGTGTGATGTGGAGATTGTGTTAGTTTTTCTGTCTCCTGCTGTTACAGACAGTTAATGTAAAAATGGCCTTTTATTGGAAACACAAATATGTATTCACTTGAAGAACAGGAGCAGAGGGGGACAAAGTTTGCCTCCCATTCTCTTGTGTTTATTCTGTGAAAGCTTAAAAAAACAGTGCTGTAATTTCTCAAATCACTCTACTCCTTGTTGTGGTGCGGGTTGTGTGTTTTCCTTTAAAGGATCTGAAATATGTTTTGCACACCTTTCTCCCAGTAAATGTGGTATTTAATTGTGGAGCTGCCCATGGGCTGGAAAATGCAACGGGGTGTAGAAACGTCAGGCAGGGTCAGGATGGACACCTTCAGCTCAAGGAAGAGGCTAGTTGGATGCATATTAATGGCACGTTTTAGAGTCCTGGAAAATCATTAATTTC